TTTTTTTTGCAACGGCAAATGATGGATCCCCCACCCTCCCAGCCCCCATTTTACTTCATTCACTGCACTTTGCCTGTAGTAATACTACTCTTTCCAACAATAACTGAACGTCTACGATGTGATGATGCCGATTAGTGAACTTGCATCAAAATCACCGGATAATTAGTGCAGGGTATCGCGTGTTGGTAATGTTATTGGGATGATCCTATGTGCGGAATGCAGTTATGCCAGACTATGATCCTCTGCTGCATACCTCGAGCTGGTACCCATTCGATTTACAAGCCCCATCTCTTCGCGGAATCCTCGAACTAGTAAAATCTATGAAAAAACAAACAAACTTTGTTGTAAACATTGAACCATTCCGGATGATGGTCCATTTTCTCGGCATACATTGCTATCCGTGTCATGAAGCTGAATGCCTAAAGGAAGACGTATTAAAATTTCAGAAAAAAATGGAAAACAGATGAAAGGGAGAGCATTCCTCCTATCCCCGTAATATCTTGAAGATTGAAAGATTACAATTATAGAATTACCTCACTGAAATTCTGGCGAATCAATATAGGTTACAATTATAGAACTTACCTCATTGAAATTCTTGAACTTCAGTTCCTTGCGAATCGCATCCCGGCCCTCCACTTTATCCCATCCTTTGTCGAACAATGGCTGAAGCAGTTCTTTCCTTTGCTGTTCATTTAGAGCCTAAAATTTGATGGTGTAAATAACTTTAGTGTTTTCTTCTTCTTTGCCTGCATGATTGTCAAAATCATCTATAAGCAAATAACGTAAAAATTAATTTAAAGGGTATAAAAATTAAAAAAAAAAACAGGGGAGATGAAAATTAACAAAAAAAATCGCCTGGACAATTAGTGTAAGTATCCCATGTTAGTGATGTTACCGGAATGCTTTCACAATCCGGGCGCAGCTGTGCCAGGCCTTTCGATCCAGGGCGCATATGTTGCGGAAAACCTGAGAAAAGCCGGCCAAAAAGCTGCCACGAAGAAAAAAAGAAAGACAGACGCACAGCAAATGTGCTGCCAGACTGAACCTGAAGCACAAGGGCTAGTGATGTAGTGGTAACACACTGCGTCCGGATGTGAAGAGAACTGGTCCGATTCCCTCTCGGGCCAGAACAATTTTCGAGAAAAGGGACTCTGCTCACAACAGTGCACTGATAGTGCGTTTGATCCCCTAGCACTGATACTAATTTACCGTTGAAACGAATGAACAAATCGTAGAGAGATTGGTTGTCCAGTTGGCGGAATGGGACTCCTCCACCTTTTGGACCAAAGTAGCGGTAGCTCCCAGTAAAAAAGTTAGAAATTCCGAAAATGAAGCTATAAAGAGAAAAAATCACGCAACTTACCATGGCGGCGACGTTTCGTGTCTGTGAAGTTAAGCGTCGAGCCAAAACTGCTACAAGCATGTATATATAGTTGGCCAATTATATTATAATCGCCCTTACCCTGGCCTGCAGGCATTATTGATAAATCATTTAGATGCCCTATTCTTAGAGCTAAACCCCTCGCTTTCCTTACTAACGTCTGGGATAGCTAGAAGCCTAACGCATCAAGCGAAGCAGAACTGGACAAAACAACCTTGAAATGAAGAAAGTATATGGAATAGCCATCGGCTACACCAATGGAAAGCGTTTTGGACATCGGTCAGTGGTGGAGTGAGACCAGTAGTTGTTCCAAGTATTCTTAGCGCTCTAGAATACTAACTTTTTCCTGCTAAAATTTACAGGCTTGCCTATATGAGAGATCTAAATGGCACTTCTAACGTCCCCATTAATTATCAAAATTCGACTGTGTTCCTCTCCACGGCAGGCCAGCAGCGCCAAAAAAATTGCATATGTTAACGCATAGAGATTTCTGATTCCCGTTCTCTTTCAGTCTCCTAGCCAGGAATATTCACTGTTTGTATCTTTAAAATTTCTACAACATAGGGTAGCTAGTACAAAAGCAC